TACATAATTCTATATAGTCTTCTAGAGAGAGAGCAGCATAAGCTTCTTGTGCTTACCTAGTTAAAACACTTTGTAATAATAATGATCATTTTTCGGTGGTTCTATTCCATGTTTGGGCAACGTTCTCAAAATGTTGGAAATATTTATCTACTTCATTTTCATTGAACGATGGTACTTTAACATATTGATTAAGTTCAAAGTTGTTATTTTGCCTTGGTTGATCTCAGTTAAGTCTAATTTCCATTTCTTTCAGCCTAATTTATTTTTTGGCTTTAATACGAGCTCATTCATTCTCCTTCTCAGCTTCATTATGAGCTCATTCGTTTTCTTTCTCGGCTTCAATACAAGCTTGTTCAGTTTCATTGAATGGTGCCACTTTAACTTTTTAATTTAACCAATGTTTCATCTTTGTGGCTTAATCAGGGTCAGTACATAGTTGTACTTACCCTGATGAAGCCACAAAGGCAATATTCTGGGTAAAATAAAAAGTTTATAATTATCTAGAGTATAAAGGTCATTTTTTCTAACCTTCTCATCTCCAAGATATCAGTATGCAGATCAGTACATGATAGTACTCAGAACAGGAATACCATGACAAATATCTGATGAATCCATGATTGCTGTAATGCAGTATGATGATGATTATGGTCCAGGAAGAATGGAGTTGTCAGTGCTTTAAGCAGTTTGAGGCTCAAGTAAACGAGTTTGCATACCATCTTTGTCATCACCACAAGAATATAGCTTAATAGCGGCAACCTCACAAGCTTCACCTACATTGCTGGCACCAGTGATGGTGACTGGGTTGTGTCATTAGCAGGGTCTGAAAACAAAAATGTATAGCAATTTTAAATAGAAAACCAGTATATAGCTCAAACATAACATTATAGTTTATATGATACATAAAATCTATAGTAAATATTGTTGTTGTACTTATTTATATATAGACTGATTAAAATATCATGTATAGGTATTCATGGATTAAATACAAACTTTGTAATTTAAAAGACATATGGATAGCTAGTTATTAATTGCATGTCAAAGGCTATATTAGCTACTAAAGTAGGAAAGCTACATAGTACTGTGCCTTGGTCATCGTGTGCTAGTCCTAATTTCTTTTGCTGGCAAAAAACATTCATGTATCACTGCAATCAGTTTCATGTCCAGTAAGAAGTGTCAAAGGTCTATCTTATAGGATGAAGAGTTCTCAGTAGAACCTGACTTTCCCAGCTTGCACACAATGACATAACCAAATACTAATCATGTCACGACTTCTGCTCATATACTTTATACTTTGTAGTCTCATGAGCCAAACTCTTACTGGTATACAGGTAATTTTCAAATTTGTTTAAGATTGGTACAATTCTCAGCTCCTTCCTTATATGAAGAAAAAACAAACCTAAAAATGCTTATTACTCAATCCCGCAATTATTTTATAGTTCTATTTCCTTGACACAATGATACTACCTTGTGCTAAAATCCACGTGTAGCTGTTACATAAACGTGACTGTTTCAGTTTAAGTTTAATGCGAGCATTATAGTTTATAAAGCGTGGATGTCATACTTAGTTATTTTTATGGCAAGTTTGTGTACATAATTGCTTAGAAATCGTAGGTTGTGTAGCATGTACGTTCAGTTGGCAATTGTTATATTGTTGCATCATGTTACTAGAACTTTCTGAATTTTTCTCATTATATTAAATGAGTATTATTGCATCAGAATATTTAGTATAGCGTGGAATGTTCTAGACTTCTATCATGATATAAATATGTATATTTTTATCTAGACTGCAGGATTGTGAGTTCAGTGATAAAGAATGTATAGTGGCAGTTTTTAAAGTGAAATTATTGTAATAATAAAGCAGAGATGAATAATTCATCTTGTCAATTTTGTTCTAAAGTAATTGAACCAGGCTGTGTGGACTTTGACTAAAAAGAGACAATTACTTAAAGCTCTGGATACAACTGTGATAACCAACAGTGTAACAAACATTTGTATATAAGTTTGACTTGTTTTAATATTATCTTATAACAAGTGGACTCTGTTGCTCTTTGTTTATTGTTGAAATTTATTGCCAACAAGTAACAAACACCTACAATCCAGCCTACAAACCTAACATTAGCAATACCACTTCAGGCTTCTAATTACAATGTGTCAACATAAGCTATGTGACTCTTTCAAGCCAAAAAAATGCTAATGCTTCATCAGGAGAATATAGACTGTGTAGAAAATGTTAAATACTATAAGCAACATAGTTTTTTACATCACAAATATAGGGGGTTCAGCCAAACCCCCCTTGCATACGTATGTGAATAAATATAGAAACTGGAGAAAATGGGTATGAAAGGCAAACACTATGGGAATGCTAATCATGTGAAAATGAAATACACCAGAGTACTGCCACTTGTTAATTAATAACTTGCACTGTGATTAGTTGTTATCCAATCAATCAAAAGGTGCTTCACCAGTGTAAAGCCAATAAAAGTACAACAGTCATACTATATCCAGTAGTAATGTGAATCCAGTCATAGCTCACAGGACTGAAATATTACATGAAAAATGTCTAGAAATGAAAATTTATCTGGTCTGTGATACTCCATGCAAACACTTGTGTGAAGACTTTATTTCAGTAGAAGTTGTATGTGAAACTTCAGGGTATATGAAACTGACATTTTTAGTAATAGCAGTGGTTGAGGTAGAAAACCAAAACTCTTCAAAAGTGAGATTAATTGAGTCAGTGTATGTTCTTTATGAGACAAATAACATTGAAGTGAAAATCTTGTTAACAACCTTGCTGTAAATACAGATGTAAATGCTACCACAAGAACAGTAAAATGCAGACCAGCACGGAGTGGTCTCATTAAATATGTAGCTACTCAAAAATCACTGCTGAGTGGAAATGAGCAAAGCTGGAGATGTGTATCCTTTACAGATAAACTCAAGTGATGACAAATATATGTAGATTCTGATCCATCACTTCATTACCTTAGGACCTAAAATCATTGGATGTAGACTGATTTTCCAGGATGACAGTGATCCCAAGCATAGAGTAAATATGGTGAACTGATATCTTGACAGTAGAAAGGCCAATGGAACACTTGCAACCATGGCTTGCATTGCACAACCTACCCACTTTTGTCTGGTATTTTCTGTGGCAATGTTTTATACCATTACTAAATTCATCTATTTGTTATTACCCATTGTTTGCGACTCCTGTGTACTTCCATAATTACTGTATGTTTGTAATATCTTAATTTACAAACATAAAAACAAAACAACATTGTAAAACAAAATAACATTTATTGTTGTGTTTGTATTAAAGTTTCAATACTTTTAGTTAATTTTTTTACACTTGCATGATGTTATGGATATGTTTAATAACACAGTGTGACTGTATATAATCTGTTTTGTAGTTGTATTCTGTTTGTAAACTATTCCATCACAGAATGGATCATGTAAAAACAGTGTGTGATCATTTTCTTCTCCCATTTCTCTGAAGTTTGTGAGTAAGAAAATTACCATTTTCTAAATATTCAGTCCAAGGTGTAATTTCATGAATTCTAGAAAACATTTTCTTCATAAAAAGACATTTGGGATTTTTGTATTTTACATATCTTGTTATGTATGTAGTTACTGATACACACAAATATTCATGTGTTATGTAATCTTTTATTTTTAAATGACCTATTAGAAAGATTGTCACTTCATGTGATTTTTTTATTCATTAATTGTTCAGTATTTTACTGTTTAATTATTTAAAAAATTTTGAATATATATTTATATTTTATACGGCTATTTCTACAGCTTTTCTCACACATACAAGCAGAAATACTAGATTATCAATATGAAACATAATAGATATTCTACCCTTGCCACAAACCCTACTGGAAATATTCAAACAAATTTAAAACTGACAGTGAACAAACATACAGGTATAACAGATACACATCACTGGTAAAATATGATCATTCCCAAAAATGTTATCTTATTATGTATAACTTTGTCCTAAAATTTGTACAAAGATTAATCTTTATTCATTTGTTCTAGAAGCAGTCACCAATTATACAGATGTTTTTCCACTTTCAGGTTCTTACCTTGTATATGAAGTAAATGCTTAATTATTTTATTTCTAGAGTCGCACAATACGTGAATTTGATGAGAGGTTTACAACTAAAATATTTGGATTTGAGGGTGTGGACCATTATTACACTCGAGCAACACTTAGAGGAAGGCTAGACAGAATAAAAACTCCCACACTGTGTGTGAATGCTGCAGATGACATGTTTGCTCCATTTAAAGGTAAGAAGCAAAATAAATTTTATATTTTAAGGAGTAGTCTTTATTATTAGATGATGGATTCATCAACAAAGTTTTAGATCTCAACATTATTGTACAGTAAACTTGATGTAAAATCCAGTTATTAAATGAAAATGCCATCAGGAATTTCCTTTCATTTGTAGAATTCTTAATGATATTTATAACAGAGAATGAAATTATTTAGGTGGACTTGCTTGAAATATGACACATCATTCTTTATTGCATAAAATTCAATAAGTATAAATAAATGTGTTAGATTAATTTCTTATTTTAAAAAGTTCTGTATGAATTATAGGAATTAATTACTTATGAAGATACAGAAAAAATTCCAGAAATGTGTTTTATTTTTAAATTTTATATTAATATTTGAAATGTATCAAAACTTTATCTTTGAAGCTTTATAACAGAAAGCTTTCTTTTTATTACATGTACTTTGTATTTGGTCCAATGAATATGTTTTATGCAGTTCATTAAGATCCCTCAGTTGAGACTGTCAGAGATCTTATTCGTAGTGACATGGAGACACAGATTGGCTGCTTCACCCTGATTTCTGCTTCTCGGTTCCTTCCAGTTTGTCCAACTCTTCCACTTCGTTTTAGGCTCTCTCTCTCAGTAGAGGTAGCCATGATCTGATATGGTACACCTGGCTATCCAGAAGCTCAATCTTCAGGCATAGAGGTTATGTAGTCTTTCGTACATCTGGGTTTAATTTATAAAGTTTTGTACTTAGTCCAAAATGAACTTTTATCAGTGGAAATGACAAGCATATCGGTAATGGTGTATTGAGAGGATGTGGAACCCATTTTGATCAGAAGTTCCAACCATAACTTGTGTTTTGACCTGGCTCTTTGGCAGAGGTTTTTGCATCTTCCACAATCACCTTGTTTCAGGCAGCCTTATCGACTACCATTCGATTATACCATTTTTTGCTAGATTATACAGAAAGATGAGTATTTTCTTTGCTACCTTCAAGAGTCCCTTATCTTGTTTTCACAGGATCCTACTCTGTGGTGAGTATTGCCCAGGTAGGTGTGCTTTTATCAAACCAATTCTACACTAGCAACTGCTAATTCAATGTACTTTATGAAGATTGCAACAGGCTCTGTAGAAATGAGGTGTTCCATAAGACCACTTTGGACCTGACCAGGTGGTATTACTATTCTATGCTGCACCCCCACTCATTGACCATCATGAGTTAAAAGCATAAGGGGATCATGCCCATCCCTGGCAATCTTTGGATTGAATAAATTAAGGTCAGTTTGTTTCACCTATTGCACTGTTCCTCAGGACTCCCCAGTGCACTTTACCCATCCCCCCCCCCCAGGTTCTACTAGAGGAGCTAGGGAGTCCTTGCCACACCCGGTTTCCAGTCACTTAGGTGGTGGAAATAGGCTTTTCCTCCAGAGTGTTAGAGTGACTTTCTCCACTCTTGGACAAGAGGGTGAAGTTGGGAACCCTCCTACTCGGGTCCCTGGATGTTTTTTTCCCAGATGTTGGTTGGAGTGGCACCGACCTACATGGGAGCCTAGTCGCAATACTGATTCAGATTTGACACTCGGCTATCTCGTTGGGTGTGCATGGCCTTTCTCTTTAGTTATTATCGGTTGAGTACATTGTTAATGGAAAAGGGTCCACTATCTCATCGTAATTCTGAATGTGGAGTGGTCCCATCCTAGATTCTTGGTTGAGCACAGTTGTTCCAAGTCCTCCCCAGTTCTGAGGGCAAGTGAAATGTACCTTCTTCACACGGTTGGGGAGTAAGGATGAATATTCATAATTCTGGACCGAATGAGTTCAGTTTCCTTTGGTTGAGGAAGATATACATGATCCCATCATTCCAAGCCTGGGGTGTTGCCTTTCAGACTTCTTCAGGTGGAGGAGAAGGTTTGTCCACTTCAATGTTGATTACTTTCTCGTCATGATTCAGGTGGCTCGGAACACATCACTTTATGGCTGTGGGTTAGGATCCACTCATATATATGCAGTCCAATTGCCCTAGCCACCAATGTGGGATATAGGGACCATAACCCCTTAATTCCAACCTGGAGTAGTGGAACCTCGGCTGTCTGATTGGAGCTGGTCTATAGTGATAATAACTCTGGGTGACGAGCACGCCTGTTCTGGATGTAGTGCAGTTCCCCCACTAGGGTGCCAGTCTTCTATTAACACACCCATGCAGACGCTTTCTGTATGGATAATGCCCATACTGGCCCTTCCATGTTATCAATGTGGGATTCTAGCTATAAGTTGGAGCAGAGGTATGTATGTTTTGGAACATTTTCCTAAATTTAAAATGTATTTACAATAATATGATGGGTGTACTATATGTTTCGAGTTATTAAATGTTCAACATATTTAACTTCTTCCCTTAGGTACACATCTAGTGACGCTGTTTGAAATGTTTTTTTCCTATTTATATATGTATGTATGTATATATATATATATTTTTTCTTTTAAAGATACTTAAGCTAATTTTGATACCTGTTTTTCTTGTAGCTCTACCACATGAAGAAGCAGCACAAAGCAGTCATGTAGCTATGGTGATCACTTCTCGTGGTGGGCATATCGGGTTTATGGAAGGATTACTTCCAGCTGTTCCTTTTTTCTCTGAGCGTCTTTTTGAACAGTATCTGAAAAGTCTTATACAAGTTGTAAAGTACAATACACTTAGAGAACTCTTCTGCAATGCTGAGTAGATATCTCAATGGCATTCCAATTCTAATTATGTGGCACTTAATTTTGCTTACATGTATTAGCTCCTTCCAAAAATTCCATCCGGACAAGTGAAACAAAAGAATAGTAACTTGCAGAGAGCTTCTCATGTATTTCTCGGCTCTTTGTCCACTGCTTTTTTTCTCATTTTAAAGGTTGTATTCTTGAAGAAATTGTTTTTTCGTTACATTATTTTATATACTGTTAGTTTCTATCATTGAACCTATTATATACGAGTTAATTTTGTATTGTAGTATTTGAATTAGTTTTCCTATTTGTTAGAAATAAAGATATTAACAAAACATATATATATTCAAGAAAATGTTATCCATAAAATGTATAGTTTAGTAATTAGCCGTTGCATTTTTAGAAAGTATTTTTATCATTTCTTAAGGTTTATTTTAGGTTAGGGCCATGATGATATTTCCTATGTATTTTCCTGGTATGTTTAAGTAAAATATGTGACAGTTACTTGAAACGGCTAGCATGGTGGAGTGATAAATTTAGTCATTTTGAAATAAAGTATAATTACAGGTAATGTCTATTGTAGATAAAACATGTATACAGTATGCATTTATATTAAATAAATTAAGATATATGCATAGCTATAATTTATATGGTTTTCATTCTCACATGCTGTTACTTAGAACATATATCAACTTTATAGTAGTTTGGAAAATAGTCCTGGAAATTATGATAAGAAATGAATTTTATTTTTATATTTTGCCAAATATTGCAGATTAAGTATGCCAAGTATAAATATTAAAAGTGTCTTTAATACTGTTAGTTAAGTGCTAAATTAGTGGTTTCATCCTAGTATTGATCTTTGAATGTTTTTGTGTGCCATCACTTCACATACATTGACATTTGCAGATTATTCAAGAGTTTAATGTCCTTCTTACAGAAGAATGAGACATTATAACTAAAAGAAATATAATTATGATTTTCATATTGTTGTCTGTAATTCATGCTTTTAGTATTGATAGGGAGTTAGCATATATGAATGTGAAATTTACATGGCAGGTGTGGTAGAGAAATGAACATTGTCTTATTACAGTTTTGCCTGTATTGTAAAATTTTATTTGAAAAGAAGAAACAACACTCAGTAAAGATGAAACAAAAAACAACATTTGATAAAAGTTTGCTTACCACATAGTAATTTTTTGACATTCATTTTTCACCATTGTAATTTTTGCTTTGCATTTTTAATGTTGGTTGTTGAATGCAAGGTGAGTTTTGAACTACTGACTTGTATCAGCATGTAAATTTTTCAAAGTATCTTAATGTGTAAATGGTTTGGGTGTTACTCAAACATCCATGACTTACCTATAGTTCATGGAAACATGCATTGAAAATATCAGTTATTAACTCCATTGACAGAGAAAATTATGTATTAAATTCATTATGAATTGTCTTATATTGTTATTTATTAAACTTAGAATACAAGTGATTTGGTCGTTTACCTTTGCTGTCTCTAACTTGATAATATGATCAATTATGTGTTTAAATGGTTACTAATTCCTTAGTTTCATAATTGTTTTTAATAATTTGGAAGGGCACGTTTTTTTATTGATGTTGTTTACCTTTCTTTTCTCTGTGGTTTTGTCAGTATTCTTCATTCATTTATGACCCCATTCTATTAAAGTTCAACATTTCTATTCAGTGTTATTACCTAATCTCTTCAAGTTCCCTACCTACAGTTTGATTATGAATACCAAAAAGTTTCTACAAATTTTACACTCATTTATAAATATATTTCCAAGTAAACTCTTTATTTGAATTACAGTGCCACTGCTTAATCACTAATAAGTAATATTGCAGCATAGTCACACTCATAGTACCACATTAACTTTATGGCTGGAAATATCATTAAGAGTTAGGGTACCCAAATGATGACACCAATGCATTTCTAATCATTATAAGTAATATAGTTTGTTCAATATAAGTGACTTAGATTGATCAACATTAGTAATGTAGTTTGATAATCATCTTTAATTAGTTGTGCTTGGTACTAGATATGTATGTTTTGGTATATGTAGGTTGCTTGTTTTGATCAGAAATTAATATTGATTTCTTAACATTTAAGTATTTCTCATTAACTTTAGAGTTCTTTAAAAAATTAAACTCTAAAAGTAGTATTTATAATATAATCATAAAAGTATGCATACTTGCTAGGTGGTCCTATTATCAAGTGTAGTATTGAAATATATATACCTCTATTTGATTTTAGATTCCACTTCTCACATGTCTTTTGTAAAAATTATATCACATATAAAATTTATAAAAGTATCATTACTTTCGAGGCTTTATTTATGGACTGCCTGTAGATGGCTAACAATATATTAAACTTTATGGTTTTATAAAACAAAGCTGTACTACTGCCTTCTATTTCTATCAGTATATATATATAAGTTTAAAGAAGCAGAATATGGCTTCTATATTACTATAGTACACTTAAGTAATATTTTTTTGATGAACTTTGATTTTTCTAAAGTTATTCCAATAAAAAGTGTAATGTGACACTTGAAAGAATTTTTTCAGTCTGTGGATAGTAGTAGTAGTAGAAAATATATTTACACTCTATAAAGACATCTGTATTCAAGCATGTAAAGTGATAGAGATTTCTGAATGATTTCTTCTTAATATACTGTGACATACTTACTTTGTTTCTTTAGCCCATGTTTTGGGGTTACCAAGTAGAAATTGTTGCTATATCATATTTTTTTCTTGGTATCAAAGACTAGAAATACATTACCACAGGATAATTTTTTAAAGTATTTATTGTTACTTAAGAAAGACATTTACACAAAAGTCACACAGAAAACTTTGCCTCCAGGTTAATAAAATATGACCAGTTACATGTACGTAGAATGTGGCCTTTAATAGTCTTTATAGATCATAAACAAACCATCTCAGTTTTGTCTCTTCCTCTTAATGATATTGGAAATATACATCAATAAAAATATACAAAAATAATTAGGAACTATATATTTATTTTATATATCATTTTCTATTTTAAGTATAGGTTTACAGTAGGAACTATTGTATCTTTTTTTTTATGGTATATGTAATAGCTTAGAATAATGTGAAACACATTTATAATGATTTATTCTGATGCTCAAGTTTAATATATGCACATGTATCCTTCATTCCTTGTAAGCACAGTCTGTGTTCATTGCTGTGTTTTCATGTTCACTACACAGAAAATGAAGGGAAGAAATTGTTTTGGGTAAAGAAGTATTCTTTCTTTAAATTCAAAGTAACTACATCAGTTTGAAGTTTTTATATATATTGACACGCACATAAAGAGAGCTCGTAGATATATAAAAGTCTCATAATAGATAATTAAGTTTATTTTATTTAATCCATAACATTTTAAGGTAATCTATTTCAAAGCAAAACCTTCGAGACTAAAACAACTGTAAATAGTATAATTTACATAATATAATATATATATATATATATATATATAATTTAGATAGGGGTCAAAATTACTTTAATTTTTTTAACAACTGTGTTCTCTGAGATAAGCAACTGAAAGGATGTTTTCATTGACATAACTTTTTTGTTCAGTTTTTAAAACAACAATAAAATCATAGAAGACAGCTTAGTAAGCTTAACCCTTACAGGTAATAGTATTGAGACCAATTTTACTTTTAAAACAAGTAATTATCCTGTAATTAATTATTTGTATGGGATGAAAGTTATTATTTTTTTATATCTCTCATTCATTAGTATTTTCAGAAAAGCATTATATAACTTGAAAAATAACAAGTAAACTGTACCTACCTTACTAAGAGTCTTGCTATAAATTTTTAATTGACAAGGCCTATCCAATGTATTCATCAAAGTTGCAGTGTCTTTAGGACTAGTTAGAGTGTACACAGTCCTTGAGACTAGAAATCAACACTACATGTTCTAGCACAAGTATAAAGTACATAAATAACACCTGCAGTTTTTCTGGTGATTCTCATTCTACGTATAGTTATTTTTTTTATCGTATACAAAACTAGTATGACCTTTCATGTCTTCCTTTAACAGATGAGGTTGTGTTGTATTCTCCTCAAACTTTATAGCCAGCCACTAATTTTTGTGCACAAATGATTTTAAAAGTACTTGACTAATGTACATAATAATATTTTATAGAATGATGGTTTTGTCAATTTTTGAAAGATTAACATGGAAGTAGTATGAAATTGATTGAAAAACATTCAGGTTGAATGGAATAGCACAATTTCATTACAAATAATTCTAATTGGCAGAATATAACAGGAATAAATACAATTGATTGAATGAGTTGTAAAAAAAAATTTAATTGTTACAAAGTGGTAAAACATTGATAAGCTTCACCCTTGCAACCACAGATTGCAAAACTACTAAATCTGTAAATAGAGTTTATTTGAAAAGTAACATTGACATGAAAATATCCTCTCAAAAGAAAATACATAATTTCAAGAAAATATTATAGATCATTTCATTGTTTTACCCCTGTTAGAAAATATTTACATGTACTAATGCAGTATGCACATTATTTATGTTCTAATTATATATTTCATAATTGTTTTGCTCTGGTTATGTCCTACATTTTACATATTTGTCAACATACTGTAATATCACCCTGATAACATACAAGGTGTATCTATAAAACACCAGTATTTCCTCTAAAAATCATGTCTGATTTCAGCTTGTTTAGTTTTGTTAAGCCTCATTCTGTGTACAGATGAAAACATGTTTATCAGGTGGACTAGTAATATATAGCATGTATTATTTGTTATCAGAAGAAAAAAAAGTTTTTTTTAATGAGACTATTATTGTTAACCCTAATATTGGGAAAATGTAGCTGTCTGTCAGCTTTTGGTAAGTATTATATTCATGAACTAAAAAGCAAAATATTGATTTGAGTGCAATTGTATAATTTAATCATACAATTTAGGACCAATACTCTTGACTTTAATTTTCAAGTCCTGATACAAGTCAGTTTTTTTTTAATTTTATGTAACAATAAATTATAAAAATAAGCTTGTAAAATTAACATTCTGAAGCTAAACTTTTTTGCAAAAAGTAGCAATGAGACAATTTTTAGATTGTTAGTACACAAAATATGTAGATTTCTAGGGAAAAAATGATGATTTAAAGAATTTGCTACACTTGGAGCTATAAAAATATTACATCATCTTAGAAAAGGATGTCATCTCATAAATTACCAAACATAAATTTACTAAACCAAATACATGTATTTATTCCTAATTTTACCCACTTAACTGATACACTGTATTGACATACAAGTAAGAGAAGCAGTGGCACCAATATATCAGCACATTTAATTTAAATCATTATGCATTAGTATATATATATATATTTATATATATGGGAGTTATTTGAGTTGTAATAGTTTTATTCAAGAAATGGATTTTAAGAATAGTGAAAAAAGTCAAACTATCTTTTTTATCTTCATTAAAAAACAATAAATGTTTTTCCTCTTGTGAACTTTCCAATTTTGAATTAGGTTTATTTATTTTATCGAACGTTTCTTCAAAAATTTAATAATTTGTATGTCATAATCTCTTCCATCCTAGTGTATTTCTATCTAAAACGTTTTTCTTTTACAAATACAGCATCACCTATTGACATATGTACAACCATTGGGTTTAACTTAATGGAAATCTTTATCCAACATGACTTTCATTGCTCTATATAGGTTATTTTAGGAATGATGTTCATTATTCTTGACAAGACAATTGTTCAAATAATCTAGTGTAATTTCTAATGAATTATAGGTATATTATAAGTTCCTAATATAAACTCTTGTTTTTCTATAGCTGTGTAGAAATAAATAAACCTTGTATACTTTTGAGCTTAGAAGATACTGGTGCAAAGTGCAACAAAAATCCTGTTTTTGTTGGATTTTTGTTATAGATGGCAATGCTAATAGAATGATTGATGAAAATTTATGAAATTACATCATTCACCTCTGAAACATATTCCAAGATTTTGACTAATATCTTACTCATATGTATGTATATACACGCACAGATGTCCATATAAAGTTATTGAAAGTGTTTCACTGGAGTGATATCAGAATACATTTATTAAATGAACTGTAATTACAACATTCTTAAAAACAACAGGTATGTGTTAGAAGTGCAGAAAAAAATGTTCTTTGTTTATATAACTGTTACTTAAGAACATTATGGAATTTAATAAATCTTATAATGAATTAGTGGCATTTATGCTTTAGACACCTGAACTGGAAACTAAGAGAAGCAGTTGTTTAAATTGGTTGCTATAAAATTACCTTTTATTTTTTCAACTACCTTATTTCAGGGCAAATTTCTAAATAACAAAATTCTGTTTATTGGTTTTTTTATAATGTTAATGTAAATATTAAAGTACAAATTGAAGTAAAAATTTTAATAATGGAGAATCAAGTAACCTGTATTTATCAAAGCTAACAGATTTAATATTTTGTTGTATAACTGAATGAATCTGTGTTTGAGTTTTTCACGTTTCTACAGTTGTTTTAATTAACAGAAAAGATCATAACTTCTTATTAATGGTGATGAATTTTCACTGTAGCTTGACATCTGGAGTGATTTCCTTTTTAACATTTAATCTTAAGCAAACTTTTATTTAGCATCTGTCATTTTTATATTTCTGGAGTGAAGTGCTTGTGTTTTATGATATTCCCTCAATGAATTCCATTGTGTAATTTTATATTTCTAGGAAGAATCCCATAGTGTGATTACACAATTCCTTCAGCAGCATATATAAATTATCTTATCCCCTCAATATGAAATACATAACAGCTCCAAGGAGTTTCTCTTTTTTTCTTTTGTAACAAGCAACATTAACATCATATGATTCAAAGTTAATTCTATGGGATATTTCTTTTACATTCCTTTATATGTTATATAGCCTTATTACTCTTTTAGCAAATTTGAAGTCTTCATAAATGACACTTAGTGATTGAGAGTGCTATGATGAGGTTTTATAAAATGTTATCTTCTAAGATAGATCTTTGCAGTTTTCTTCATTATCAGAAATTTTATTGATGTATTTTATAAAACTTTTTAATGCCAGAACATTGTGGCGTGTATGTGATTATCAAAAACAGTTATTACATAGTAAATGTAGTTTTTGAGAAATTATTATTTGTGGAATTATCTACTGAATATTTGAGGAGTTTTAAAGTTTAATTCAAATACAACGTCAATCAAGTATATCAGCAATGCCTTTGAATTCATAGTGTGCTTTTCTTTCCTGTGATGGCCTAGAGATGCCAGTAGTAAGTTTGTCTCAGGAAATTAAAATTCAGTAATAAACTAAGTTCTCACAATTCGTTAATAAAATGTTTGCAAAGAATGTATTGTTATCATTATATGATGATTATTTGTTATTTTTTCATTTACTTAGAACATAAAATGATTTTTTGACACAAGTCAATGGTAATTTAGATTAATGCCAAATAACAATAAAGATTTTTATATTGTTGAAATCTGAAGAAAAACCATTAAAGAATTAAGTTATCTGTGTGGAAGTGCTTGTAACTGTCATGCTTGTAAAGTTTGTAATTATTTTTGCATAGAGCATTAACTGTTTGAATGAAAACATATCACAAGAGAGTAGAAACCAAGTATTAACCTTTGTCATATGAATTGATTCGTTATAGGTGGAACTATTTATCTAGAAAAAATAATTATTTATAAATATGTTTTTGAAAAATAAAAGTGTAAAACCTTCAATAATACCAGTGATGCATCTGTGTTTTTTTTATTATTCAATTATGTTTGAAATCAGCAGTAGAACAATGAGTGCAGATGTTTATACTTTGAAGTCATTTCACAAATTGCTTTAATTCAAGTTGGTTTTCAGTATTAATTGTTATTTTTGTTTTAATATAAAGTTACACATTGGGGTATCTGCACTCTGTCCATTGCTTGGAATTGAACCCTGGATATTAATGTTGTAAGTTTACTGCTGACCCACCCACGACATTTGGTGTTAGTAGTTTGTTTATGTGTATATTGATTCTATTTTTTTTTTTTTGGCCATCTACTAAGAAATTTGTTTTTTGTTCAGCAACATGTTAAGTCTTATGGTTCTCCTAAAAGTTGTGGTTTGCATGGTGCTTACACCACCCTTTTTTAATGTTTGTTTTACAAAATATTTGTCCCCCCAGTTGATCAGAAGTAATGTCCACAAACTTACAATGCTAAATTCTGGGGTTTGTGTCTCCATGGTGAACAGTGTGAAGCTAGCCCATTGTGTAGTTTTGCACTAAGCAAACAACTTAAATGCTTTTTTTTAATAGATGTAAAAAAATATATATCAGTAAATAAATAACTTTTTGAAATATCAGTAGTTTATTTAAAGTCATAAGATTTTTAACAATAACAGTTTAGCCATCAAG